CACTTTAAAATGGAGTCAGCGCTGCCTCAAGCCTTTGGAATGTTCCAAGGGGACAAAATAGCTCTGGACGGGCCCAGAGCAACACTGTGTCCCCACAACTGTTTGCAGAGATAACAAGAAAGCAGCTATTCTAACCTCCAGGCCGAGAATTAGAAACATTGTTTAGAATTAGCATCACTGCGTCTCCTTATCTGCCCCAATGGCAGCTCTTCCTTCTCCGGAGGTCTCTGCCGCCTCCTCTCTTATACCCCCCCTCCCCCCCTCCCCCCCTCGCCCCCTCGCCCCTCCCCCCCCCCAGCCCCACCACCACCTCCTCAGAACACTGGGCTTCTGCCTGAATCGGTGCTTCCGGAATAGCTTATTGGTTTGTTTTTTATTGGTTGTTTTTTTTAAATCTCAAATAAATGCTATTGCCTTTCCCTTTGGCCTTTTATTTATTTATTTTGCCTTTTATGTTTAAGTTAACAAAAACAATGGAAAACATTTAATAAATGGTGTGAGAGGATGGCAACTTACTAATCATCTTAAACACCTTACACCGCAGATAAAAGATGAACTAAAAGAAATGTTAAATGTAGAATGAGAGGGCAATGAGCAGGAAGAAAAGAATTGAGTGTTGCCCTAGCCACTTTGGCTCAGTGGATAGAGCCTTGGCCTGTGGACTGAAGGGTCCCAGGTTCGATTCCAGTCAAGGGCGCATGCCCAGGTGGCGGGCTCGATCCCCAGGGTGGGGTGTGCAGGAAGCAGCCGATCCATGATTCTCTCTCATCATTGATGTTTCTCTCTCTCTCTCTTCCTCTCCCTTCCTCTCTGAAATCAATAAAAAATATTTTTAAAAAAACAGATTTGAAGCCTTGAGATCCTAGAAGAAACGACGGACACCAAGGCCAGGCTACGCAGCCAGCGCAGCGGCACGCACGGCTCTCACACAAAACCCCGCAAATGATACCAAGAGGAAGAGACGCCGAAAGAGCTCGGACTGCACAGGTGACGCTCGCCAAGGAAAGCTGGCGTTGCATAAAGCTGTGACACTTGCAAAACATTTCTTAAGGCTTTAACCCACGATGCTGACGTGGACGTGAGCCCCGCGCTGTGCGCTAGGAGGGACTGTGGGAGCAGCGCCCGGAGGAGGAAGGGCTGCTCCGCGTTGTATAATGCAGACGCAGAGGGGAGCCATGCGGTCTGCGCAGCCCCCCGCCCCCCGCCCCGGGGCTGCTGCCACCTCCTGAGGAAGGACTTGCCCCTAGTGCCCGATGCCGGTGTGTAAGGGGGGGGGGGGGGTTTGGTATCTGGTACAGAGTGCGGGGTGAGGGGACGCCTGGGGACTGCGGACTGGGGGCTGGGGACTGGGCCGCAGGGAGAAGCGCTATTGAGCAGGCAGGCGTGAGCAAGGCTGTGCACAGACCGGGGCTGTCTGGAAACCACCAAGAAGGTCATTACGACACGTCTGATAAGGAAATCCGTTAAGGGTGTGAAGTAAAAGATGGTGGAACTTTCTACAGACTGTGATTATAGTTAAAACTGCGCCTGCACAGGAGCAAAGGCTGGGAAAGACCCCGCCAACGACACGAGACGGTGATCTCACGGCGAGTTGAACGCGTCCTGCGTGTGTTTATAATATATGAGCCCACGGGCAAGGCGGAGCCTGCACAAAGCCGCTGTGAGTGGGGAGTGGAAGCAGCTGCACGTGCCTGGCACAGGGACGCAGCTGTCACGGCCACGCCAGGAAGACCCGTCCTCACCAGCTACGGGGAATGGACGCATAAACACAACCGATGTGACGCCACGTGCATCAATACGGCGTCAATACGGGCAGGCCCAGGCGCTCTCCCGGGGAGAGGGCGAGACCCTGGGGGAGGTGGCAGCTGTCTCAAAGGCTGGGCGAGGCGAGGGAGCAGGAAGCATGGCCTGGGCTTGCGGGCATTGACACCAAGAGCTGGCACTTGTGGGAGAGAGGAGAGAGGCAGGGCCAGGGGACCGAGGGCCTCGGATGTTCCCCCAGGAGTGTGAGCTTCACTCCAGTTTCTGAGTTTGTGCAGAAACAGAAGCTGAAGAAGGGATCTTTCTGCAGACAGCCCAGAGGGACGGGGGTGGGGCCTGGCCCGGGGCAGAGCAGCCCCAGGAGAAGAGGGAACATCACAGGGCGGGTGGGGAGGAGGAGCAGCAGGGACAGGGACATCGGAGATAACCATGAGGCCACCATCACCACACGGAGAGCGGCGACTCCCCAGAGGATGCCAGGGCGTGGGCAGCGCTGAGCCAACAGGTCCGCCCCTTCGGGTCACCTTCCCCCCATGAAGACACTCATCAGGCCGCTGGGGGAGGGTCTGAGGCTCAGGACAGGGGTGCCCCCGGAAGCAGTTCTGAGCCGCGTGCTTCCATGGCTGGGGTCAGGGAGGAGAGAAAGGTCACACAGGGCCCCGCAGGGGTGGCTCAGAGTTGAGCGCACGCAACCCAGGAACCAAGAGGTCACGGTTCCATTCCAGGCAGGTCACACGCCTGGGCTGCAGCTCGATCCCCAGCAGGGGGCGTGCGGGAGGCAGCCGAGCCATGTCTCTCTCTCATCAATGTTCCTCCCTCTCCCTGCCTCTCCCTCAAAAATCAATAAAAACAAATTAAGAAAAAGGAATGGCCACATGCCGAGGTTCTGCCCTCTGGGCGTCACACGTGCACCTCACCGAACCGTCTCAGTGCCGGGACCTCACGCCTGAGCAGCGGGCCCAGGGCCGGGAGGACCTCACGCCTCTGGCAGCCCCGCGCGAAGCAGCTTCACGGAACTGGACGCGGCTTTGGCTCCAAACAAGACAAACTGCTGATCGTGGAGAAGAGACGTCATTTGCTTGTTGCCGACTTTGGTCTGACAGTTGCCAAGGTCCAAGATGACTCTTCCTTGTGGACAAGGCTCTGTAAAGGTGAAGGCGCAAGCGCGGGTGGACCTCGGGCAGCCAGCGGCGGGGGGGGGGGGGGCAGCGCTCCCTCTTGAAGGTCTTCATGCGGTGGGTGTCCCTGGGGCGCAGGGGCCTCAGGGAACGGGAAGCCCGGCTCCGCTTCACTGCGTCGCGGGCGCTGACCAGCCCGGGCTCTGATGCGCCGCCTGCAGAAGGAGAGGTTTGGGCGGGAGCAGGGGCTCCTCCAGCTTCCCTGCGGCAGGACTGGGCGGCGGGGGGGGGGGGGGGGGGGGCCAGCGCCTGGCCTCGCTGTCAGGTGACTCCTCACGTGCCCTGGGCTCTGAGCCGGCCTGGTGGCCAAACAACGCAGAGCATGTGTCAGCAACTGCTAACAAGAAGTGTGTGTGCAGGGGCTGGATGGCGTCCGATGGGCTGCCACTCAGAGTGTGGGGGCCCCGGGGGCTGGGTCATGCTTCTGGGTCCCCTCACCTCCCCAGACTGGACGGCGGGGCCGGGATGGCACGTTGCCTCCCACCCGTCAGGCACTGATGGATGTGACAGTTGTCCTTCCTATTGGAGTGGGGTTGTCCGGTGCCCCGTGACCTCCAGTGGCCCATGGCCTGGGCGTGGGAGGAAGCTGTGAATGACTCTCCAGGGCCGCCACTGCCAGGCAGCGTGACCCTGAGGAGATGCAGAAGAGAGAGGAGCTAAGTGAATACTGAGAACTATTTTTTAACCGGGCTGAAAACAAAAGTAAGATGCACAGAAAGCTGGCCCGTGTGCCTCAGTGGTTGAGCATCGTCCCTGCACCAAGAGGTGGCCGGTTCCCCGTCAGGCACGTGCCTGGGTTGTGGGCTGGATCCCAGGTCGGGGTGGGTGCAGGAGGCAGCCGATTGGTGTTTCTCTCTCCCATCGATGTTCCTCTCTCTCTTCCCTTTCCCTTCCTTTCTCTTTAAAATCAATAAAAAAAAAAATACTAAAAAAGAGAGAGAGAGAGGGTTTTGCATCCACATTAATGTTGGGGAGCGAACCCTCGCCTGCTTCCTCTGCACTTGCCTCCCTGCTCGTGGGAAAGCAGCTGAGCGAGCAGAATGACTGCAGTGCTAACACCCTATCTGGGCGGCTCTCACCTTCCTAATGCCTCGGCCCTTTGATACAGTCCCTCATGTTGTGGTGACCCCCAGCCATAAAATTATTTTCGTTGCTACTTCGTAACTGTCATTTTGCTACTGTTATGAATCGTAATGTAAATATCTGATATGCAGGATGTATTTTCATTGTTACAAATTGAACATAATTAAAGCATAGTGATTAATCACAAAAACAATATGTAATTATACATGTGTTTTCCGATGGTCTTACGCGACCCCTGTGAAAGGGTCGTTTACCCCCAAAGGGGTCGCGACCCACAGGTTGAGAACCGCTGCCCTATCTGTAAGGGCCCGCTGGTCATGGAAACAAACGTATGACACCTTTTAAAGGCTCAGCTAGAGCTGGTTGAAATATACAACTAGTTAATGCAAGATTAGAGCCCAAATATGAAATCAGCTTTATTATTTACACGTTCCCGTCGTCTCCTCGAAGCAGCCCCGAGTCCTACCGTGTCCCCGCTCCCTGGGACCAGCCAGCAATGAGACGGCACTGAAGGGCACCCCCTGCACAGGGAAGGTGCAGCTTTCTGGCTGCTCGGCCAGTGGAAAAGCAGAGACGCGCCCTCTCCACCTTTCTGCTGGTGTTGGTGTGTGAGGTCACATGTTTGTTGTGGTTGTTTAATTGGCTTTTTGTGTCTCCTTTCATGTTACTGGCCTGGCCTCTTATCTCCTCTTAAATCTCTTCAGTTATGAGCATTCATTTCTTGCCATCTCCCTGCAGTTTGCTGTGAGCTCAGGAGCCATGCGGACAGCGCCCTCACTTCCTCCTCCCCACTCCTCAGACCACCTCCCAACTTCATACAGACTACAGGGTTGCCTCCCTACAGCAGACCTCCCAGCCTGCAGGTGGGTCTCCTGAGCCTTTTTTTAAAAATTTCTTTATTGGTTAAGGTATTACAAATGTGTCCTCATTTCCCATTAACCCCCAACCTCCCCCGCCCGCCCCCGCACCCCTCCCCACTCATGCTGTCATTTCCCTGTTGTCCGTGTCCATTTCTCCTGAGCCTTTGAGCGTCTGGGGCAAGGTTTTCCCTTCCCGTCTTCAGCCGCTAGTATGGACTCTCAAATACCAGTATTCGTTGAACTGAATGGTGAGAATTGTTCACAGCTCCTTGTTTAAGAAGGAACAGCTAAGTAAGGGCATCTAAAATGCAGTTAGATGCTAAATGGCACGCTGAGCAAAGTCTGCAGACGTTAATCCATGAATGGGGTACTTGCACTTTAAATTTTTAGAAGTAGTCATTCTTTCCTCCCAGATCTCTCAGCTGCATTTCCGAGATAGCGGAGACTGTGAGCCACATCATCTGCACAGGCGAAGCGCTACTGTAGCAATGACAATGCAACAATAATTACAACCAGAATGGAATAAAGACAGAGCATTGAGATGGGAATAAGACTTGCAGTTGCCAGCAATTTTAGTATCAGATTGTTTCCACTGAAATCATGGACGGTAGTTGTAATAAATATAGCACAAATGTAAGTGACTTGTGGATTCTGAAGAAAGTTTCCATTCAAAATTCAATTGCACAGCGATCAGTCTAACTCTTTGGAGAGGGACTTTGAGACGCCTTTGCACTGGCTTTTTGGTGTTTTGGTGGTGTTTGGGGTGTTGCACCTTTATAGCTCTAACAGCTCTGCAAGGTGTCCTAGCTGTTCGGGCACTTAATTCCCCCCTGGAGACAGCATCTGCAGAACAAAGGTGAACACAGAGACGCATGCTCGCACTCAGGCATCATTTGGGACCCTGGTTGCCATGGCGAACATTTGAGGGGCACACACCTGGACTATCTGGAGATGGAAATTACTTTTAAGGAGCGTTAGCGGCCTGGCATTTCCGGAGTTTCAGAGCCGTGGACACTGTTTCACTGTCAAGGCCCGCGGGACCCTCTGGAACGCCCTGCCTGGGAGGGCCGCGTGCGCTCTGCAGGGAGAGCCGCGTCTCCAAGCCGCTCGCCCCGGCTCTTCCACCCACAGCTCAGTGTTCCGCGGAGTTTGGCGGACGGTGTCTGGCTGGCTCTTCGGAGTGGAGCGCAGCCTCCGTGCAGCCCGGCGCCGAGGGGAGGGCATGGCCAGCGCGGGCGTTCCAGGCACACCGGTCCCGTCCAGGCTGCGTGAACCGGGGCGGTCTGAGGCCGCTTCCCGGCTGGCGTCCGTCGGGGCTGAGCTCGGGGGCGCCCTTCGGGTCGGGGTGCCACAGGATCGGGGAGACGAGCCGGAAAAGGAAGGCCACCCCGCGCGCTTTGTCTCGGGTTCTGGCAGCTTCTCCGGCCTGCGATTCAAACGCGAGCCGAGGGGCCCCCGCGCCCTCATTGGAAGCGGCCGGTGACTCACGCTTCCCGGCGCCTCCTCCCTCCGAAGCGGCGCGATTGTAGCTTTAAAAGGAAGTGACATGGGTGGGGAGAGACGTCAGCGAGGACCACTTTCCCCCGAAGGGCCCACCCCGGGGGTGGAGCCTCGCCTTTCTGCCCAGCGCCGGCTGCTTGCAGCCCAGAAAGTGGTGGCCGTCCCCGCGCGCGCCGCTGCCTCCCTCGGCCGCCGAGTCCACGTGCCGGGCTGCAGGGGCTGCAGGGGCTGCAGGAGGCAGGTACGTGCGTCCGGGCGCGCTCCCTGCGCGGGGCCCCCGGCCACCCTCCCCTCCTGGCTGCTTTCCTGACACCCGTGGAAGGGTAGGTGGGACCGGGACGTGGAGGGAGGAGAGGAAGTGAGGCGGCCGCGGGAACGTGGAGGGCAGCGCGGAAGGCGGAGGGGCTGCGCGGCGCCCGGACCGGCCCTTTGTGCCCCGCGGGGCGCGCCCGCCTCGCCCGCCGAGGATGCTCGCCGCTGCCCCGGCTCCGCGCCCCGCCCCGCCGCGCCGACCCCCGCGGCCGCCAGCGTGCGTCCTGCGCGAGATGGAGCGGGGAGAGGGCTCCCGGTACAGAGGGGCCTCTTTTGTGTCCCGCAACACGTTCTGCCCTCCCTGGCGTTTCTATGGCAACCACAAAAATACTACCCGAGCGCCCTGCAGTGATTGATGCGCGTTTCCCGGTGCCGCGCGGCTGGCGGGCCGCTGGGCCCCGCCGCCCCTCCTCGCCGGGCTTTGGTTTTTCCCTGTCACAGCGGGCGGGGGAGGGGAGTTGTCAAGGAGACGGTGCGAGCCGCCGCTTTATTTACCTGATTGTGGCTGTGCGTCTCTGTGTCCTGTCGAGGAATGGAAGGGCCGCTCTGGGCTGGGCGAGGCTCCCCACCTGGGTCCCTGTAGGAAGGGAGCGGGTCTCAGGACCGGGCCGTGCTGTGATCAGCCCTGGGCGGGGAGACGCGCTTCCTCATGGGGTCGGGGGTGGGCCTGGAGGAACTTTTAGGAGGCGGTGGGATCAGCCCTGGACATGCTACCCTCTGCTCAGCGTCCCAGACCCTCAGTATCCAGAGGAGCTCTTTGCTCCAGGCTGAACCTATTAGCATCAAGTCCAAGTTCAACCACCTGAGGGGAACAAGGGAGGTCAGCCTGCGCCTTGGGCGGGTCCCCCACCCCCACCCCCCGCCTCCCACTCCCAAGTGAGGGTGCAGGCCTGCGCCTTCGCCTTCGGCTTCGGCTTTGGGAGAGGGTCCCCCCCTGCGGTGCTGGCCCAGCTCCTCCTGGAAAGAAAGTGTGGTGAGGCGAGGGCCCAGGTACGGGCGGTGCGTTTCAGAGTGTGTGAGAGTGTGTGTGTGTGTGTATAGGTGAGCGGGTATGTGTATAGGTGTGTGTGTGAATGTCTGGGGTGGTGTAGGTGTGTGTGTGTGTACAGGTGAGTGAGTATGTGTATAGGTGTGTGTGTGGGCATGTGTATGGGTGTGTGTAGATGTCTGTGTATGTGTGTAGGTGTTTATGGGTGTCTGGGGTGGTGTAGGTGTGTGTGTGTATAGGTGAGTGGGTATGTGTATAGCTGTGTGTGTAGGTGTGTGTATAGATGTGTATAGGCGTGTGTATAAGTGTGTGTAGGTGTGTGTCAGGTGGTGTAGGTGTGTGTGTGTGTGTGTGTGTGTGTGTGTGTGTGTGTAGGGACAACAGGGGCAAATCGGAAATCCTGTTAAAACTACTGAACCTTGTTAATACCCTCAATGGGGAGATAAAGAATTGATTTGCAGGAAAAATATGAAACATGAGGGTGAGTCTCGTCGAGTAATAAGCAGCGTTAATGTGATTAGAATGAAATTACGTGTGCATTGGAAAGACAGGCCGCTGGGCCTATTGCAGGTGGGGAGAGGAACTGGCGTTTTATTCGCACATCCAGGAACGTCCATGAAGAGAGCGCTGCCCGTTACCAGGCATTTCCACGGCCCAGAGCAGCTCTCGGCTGGCCCTCGGCCCTGACAATCAGCTGTGGTGGGGAAAGATCAGTGCAGGTCGCGTGCCTCACAGGGCCCCCTGCTCCTGGAGGCGAAGCACCACGAGGGCCTCACAGCAACCCTCACGGGGCAGGCGGGGCTCCAGGGGGGTCTGCCTGCCCAGAGCCTGTCTAACCCTGTCGTCACTCGGGATTTTAAACTGGGCAGCGCGCCCGCGGCCAGGAGTTACCTGAATGGGGCTGAGCGGGACTAAGGAGGGGCGGGGGAGGCAGAGAACGAGTTAGAGGGAGAAAGCACACAGCGTGCACAGGACTAGCCTCGCTCTGAGGGCGTGTGCCAGGGCCGGCGGGTCCTGGATGCCCACAGCCGTGTGCCCGTCACTGGTCCTCGGGAGACGCACGCACCCTCGGCGCTCACAGGTGGGCAGGGTTGGGGTGGAAGCCCGGAGGGGGGCGCTCTTGGGTGTCCAGACCCTGGAACTGAGCTAACAAGAGCCGTGGGACGGAGCCCTCGGAGAGAGCCAGGGATCCTCTGGAAGCACAGCCAGGCATAGAAATAACATCCACCTTGGAGCCGCCGTGCGGAGGCTAACAGTGCTCCTCGGCCTTGACCTGGGGCAGGCAGGGGCTGCAGAGGCACAGCTAGGCTCGCCCGGAGGGGCCGCCACGGACACCGCTTCTGCAGTGGGGCTGGTCACCCTAGCAGCGGGTCCCACTGTCTGCGGGCTCGGACCAGGTGCGGTGACCTTTGTGAAGCAAATGAAAGCTGGGTCTGTACTCTCACATTTAAATCCACCAGCCAGGCCTGAGGACACCCGTACATGCGCACAGAGTGGAGGAGAGGAAGGAGGAGGAAGAGGAGGAGGGGAAGGAGGAGGAGGAGGGGAAGAAGGAGGAGGAGGAGGAGGAGGAGAGGAGAGGAGGTGGGGAGGAGGGGAAGAAGGAGGAGGAGGAGGAGGAGGGGAGAAGGGGAAGGAGGAGGGGGAGGAGGAGGAGGGGAAGGAGGAGGAGGAAGGGGAGGAGGAGGAGGAGGAGGAGAAGGAGGGAGGAGGGAGGAGGGAAGAAGGAGGAGGAGGCTAGGGACTGGGGAGATGCCGGAAGCCAGTTCCAGCAGGTCATAATTGCAAGAGTTTCATCGAAAGGTTGATGGAACTTGAGGACTCAACAAGGGCTGAGTCATATATGTTGTCGCCTGTTGGGAATGGCTGAGGGCATTTTCCCAAACTTGAAAAGGGATGATTGTTTGCTGCCAGATGGCTCAGGGCATCTTAATCTACATGTTATTGCCTCCTACTGGCCAAACACCGGAACAGCCGTAGGCTAATTCCCTCATTCTGACAATGGACTCTGTATAGGAAACCTGACACTTTGAAGTGTATATCTCCACCTCGCCTCAGGACAAGTTGTGTTAATAAAAAGCATGGGGTCCTGAGAGGAGGAGAATTTAGTTCCTTTTAGCTAGCCTCCTCTGACCCCCAATGGCTTTCGAAATTATATTTCGTCTCTGGACTCTTTAAGTTACGCACGGCCCCTTCTCCAGATTCCTGAACCCTTCTAGATGCTGGGACAAGAACCCCGGCATTAATGGCGTCCGGAATTGGGGCTTCCTGATCCCTGGCAGCACCAAGAGGGAGAGGAGTGGGACGGGGAGGTGCTGAAGGTCTGAAGGGGAGGAGGGGAACCGCTCCCGGGCGGTCCAGTTCAAGGGGAAGGCTGTCTTTCCTGTGGGAATAGGGCGGGAACGCTGTCCGCTGGTGGGAAGGACTAGTAGATACAGATTCAGGGACAGAAGGTTGTTTGAAGCCGAACAAGCCGGGTTGGTAGGAGAAAGACGTGTGAGCAGGAGGCACAGCCCTTCCTGACCCAGATCGAGCGGAAGCTCACGAAGTGAAGGCTGTGCTCAGGTCAGACTCGAAACGAGGAAGGAATCCGGGAAAACCTCACACGTGCCCACAGCTCATTCTAATCACATGGCCCGTAGCCGTCGTGGGGGATTGTGGGGGCTCCGATGAGCGTGTGGCAAACCTGTTGTGTTTTATGGGATCCGCTGTGCTCTGAAAAGAAGGTCTGATGGGTAAGGAAGATGTGTGTTCACAGTTCTGAATGGTTTCTGACACCGAAATGTTTAGAGAAATGTGATCAAGCCTCCCTCAGAGTCATTGCCACTACCCGGAGCCTGGCACTCCGATTCCGTCATCTGCCCAGCACGGAACCCGTGGGAACCCGTGAGAACCCGTGGGAATCCGTGGGAACCCGTGGGAACCCGTGGGATCTGAAACTTGGCTTCAGGTGCGGATGGGGGAAAGAGGAGGCTTAACAAGATTTACGGTGCATTTGTGACTTGCCAGGTGCTGTGGACACATTGTGAGTACAACCAGGTACAGTGCAAATAGCTACTGTTTGGGGCCTGGCCAGGTAGCTCAGTCAGGGCGTCGTCCTGATACCCCAAGGTTGCAGGTTCAATTCCCCCGTCAGGGCACAAACAAGAATCAACCAATGAGCGCATCAATGAGTAGAACAACAAATCTCTCTCTCTCTCTCTCTCTCTCTCTCTCTCTCTCTCTCTCAAATCAATCAATAACAAATAAATAGCAACTGTTTTCAACTAACTGAAAGATTTTAAGGGGGAAACCGTGACTGGCTGATCTTTGTTTTAATGACTGAATAAGAGGAAATGTTTTAAAATAAGAACCATTTCTGGTGAACGTTGTCATGGAACAATCTATCCAACCCTCCTTCCTCTATTTTTAAGACGTACTCTTGCTCCATAAAGATTTCCTACGTGTTTTCATTTGGCCTTCATTCTGTTACTCCCATCTGGTTTGCTCTACTTCCGCTGACCCTCAGTCCTACCTTTCAGTCACACTCATTCATTCATTCATTCATTCATTCATTCAAAAATACATGCAGCCATACATACACTCATCATCTGTCCACCATTCATTTTTTCACTCAAAATATGTTGCGTGTCATGTGTCGGGCACTATATGTTACGGATATAGAAACAAGTGGGAGAGAAACCATTTCTTCCCTAAAAGAGCCCCAGGCCCTAGCAGGCAGACACAGCCCCTTAGGTCAGGGGTGCTATTTTTGACAGAGGTGCTTATGGCTAATGGCACTGGGTGCTTGTTTTATTATGGAGCAATTCGGCACCTGGATTGTGCTGGGCAGAGAGGGAGAGAGTGGTTAGCAGCTGACTTGTGCGTCTTGTAATTTTCTTATATCTTCCCCGTTGGCTGAGTTTCTGGCTGGCGTCAGTAAACATTTGCGGATGAACGAAGGGAAGAAGCGGAGTTTCTGACGCTGGGGACAGAGGGCAAGAGTGTGCAGAGGCTTGTGCAGGCTGCGCGAGGGGGTCTCTCCTGGCGAGTCCCTTGTGGACTCCCCTCCCGCTCACCTCCAGGTGCAGCCTCTCAAAGGGCAACTCCCCCTGCATCCGGCCCATGGGCTCCCTAGACATCTTCCTGCCGCTTAGAGCCTAGAGCCGGAGTTCCCATCACACCTCCCGTCGATGCCTCATTCCCACAAAACCAAGGAGCTTTCCACACTCTCAGTGAATGACCCCGAATCCCGAAGGTCGCGACCTTGCTGCCCTACTTCCTGTTTGTGTTTCCTGAGGTCTGGGCGCCTCTGGGTGTGATTGTTTGCTCACATCACGTCTGCCTTCCGTGTGGAAGTTCCATGGGCAGCGTGGCCAAGTCCATCTGGAGCGCTGCCCACCTCTGCTGGCCCGGCTGCAGGATCCGGGAGAAGTTGGCAGGTTCCCCTCCTCCTCCTCCTTCATCATTTGGCTCTCAGAGGAGATGGCTTCTCCCTAAGGCAGGAAGCTGCCCGGAGACTCGGGGTGACCAGATCTCCCCTCTGAGCTGGAGTCCTGCCTCGCAGCGACTTCATGGTCACTTCTGTGCAGGGTCTGAGAAAGAAGAGGCACCTTTTGAACTTTGTGGTAGTTTGAACCCGGACGCTGGAATTCCTGCAGGAGTTATTCCGGGGTCTGGGCGATGACAGGTCACCTGCCGGAGCCACAGAGTCAGGTGACCAGCCGCCCCCGAGGGACATGAGGACCAGCACAGGCCCCGCTCGCCGAGGGCCTCCTGGGTGCCAGGCTGAGACTGTGCATCGATTCATTCACTCCGTCCTAACAAACGGAGCGGGCACAGGCAATGATCACGTTACATCT